TTTTTTTTTTTGACGTTCTTATTATTTTTTAATTACTTTAATTTTTTTATATGCCGGTTCGGCCCGGAACAGGTAGGCCGATTCTGAACCAGAAACCACCTATTCAATAAACCGGCCTGTATATAAATTCGGGCCGGTCCAGGTTCACATAACTGAAGTTTTTGGCTACATCTGAGCCGGGCATGCATAATTTTAAGTGCATATGTTGGTTTGATTAGATACAAGTAAAAATAAAAATAAAAATGGATAGAATGAGTTAGAAAGAAGAAAATATTGTTTGGATTAAAGATTGAATTAATTTTAGTCAACGAATTTTAAATAAATATGTAATTACTAAAGCTGTGTGATATAAAAGTATTAAAATAATAACTAGTACGTGGCCCGTGCAATGCACGAGAAACAATATTATAATTACATTAGAAATCAAATTTATAAGTAACATTAATCATGATTGGTCTATTGTTCTAAAAACTGGACCGAACCGAATAGTCTCACCGTATGGACCGAGAACCGATTTATCGACCAGTTCAGTTCGTTTGAATAAAATGTTTGCTGGAGAACTGGTCAACACCAATTGGTCAGACTGTTAGTTTCAGAACAATTTTTTTCATAATTTTTGTTGCATCTAAAACTATTTTTAATATAAATAAAAGTACATGTTTAATAAAAATGGATATTTATAGATTATTTATCATTTAGTTTAAAGATTGAATAATTTTAAATTGTTCATATGTTTAATTAATATTTTTAATACATTTATTACTAAAATTACTATATATATATTAAAATTCTGATGCAACCAATAAATCATTGAAGAAATAACTTGATCGTTTAAAATGGTCATCTCCTGAGTACTTTGGATTTAACGTACATTAATAAAGTTGTATGCAATATCGCTTTGTTCACATAAATGTTAATAAAATAACATATAAGTGTTCATAAATCCTTGTACATGTTTACATAAAGACATTCTTAATATGATTATTTGCAGTATGAACTACACTACATTTATTGTAATAAAGTATTTTTAATATTAAAATTTAGTTTAATAATCAATTTGGTATGGTCAAACAGGCCCATTTGGTCACTTGGTTCAATTGTGTCATTGACTCGTAAATCGGTCACCCAGGAAATAAAAAATATTTTATGATTCATGTAGTAAATGTAATTTATACCAAATGACAATATATTAAGATTGTAAATTATATATATATATATATATATATATATATATAAAATATGTCATTTATTTCTTACTTTATGCATATTTATATAAAAAAAACATATTTTAAAAAAATTAAAATTAATCAAGTGCTTTTTTTAATTGTCGAGATAACCCAATACCAACATGAGTTACTACATAGTAGAGACATTTCACATATCAATTATTATGTTTTTAAACATACTAATTTTTTTGCTTATATAATACATAAGTACTTATTATAAAAAGTAATATATAAATAAATTAATAGTGAAAAGATAACATTTGCCATTATTTAATTCTTAATTGATTTATTTTCTACTATTAATTTATTTTTTTAATGAGAAATGACAAATTCAAACTTTTTAAACATCATGATGATTTTATATGTGATTAAAATATTGAAAATATTCGATTTAGGATATTAATATAAATAAATAATTTCATAGTTTGCGATTTATTGTGGAAAACGTAATACCAAAAACTGTTGTCGTCTGTTTTTAAATATATTTTTGTATTTTTAAACAAATTTATTGATGCATAATTGTTTTCAAATAATTTGATGGGAATTCTTATCTCCCTTATACATATAAGAAAAAGTATGAGGGGTTAGAATCTTGACACGTGTCATTTTTGGTCTGTACTAAATGCCCTTCGTTTTGTAACATTTTACGAAACTACCACTAGCTTTTTTAATATCGAATTGGGGGTTGAGGCTGTTGTAGCGAGTACGGTGCGGATTGAACATCACTCTCTCCCCTAAAAATCTGGTTCCCTTGAACGATGATACCCCGAAAATCTGCGATTTGCTTTCTTCACGCAATCTTCAGCGTACTCTCTCATTCAATTAAGTGACGTCGACGTGCCCTTCATCCTAAATCTCACCTGCTGCTTTTCTCTCACTTCTTCGCCTCCAAAATCGCATCTCACAATTCTCTCAAAAGCAAAATGAAGATTTTGGCAGTTTGATGGTGTTGTGGGACTTTGGTCTCATGATTTGAGCTCTAACGGTTCCGGTGGCGTCCTCGCCGCCATCTATGTCGTGGATTCCATCTCCGACCTTTAAAATGGCAGGTTTGAGAACAGCCATCGGCGCCGAGTTTTGTGACCTCAACATTCATCTCCGCAAGCACTTCACGGCGTAGACCGGACCGTTCCCAGGGATCCGTCACCGGTCGATTGGACATCAGCTTTAACCACGCTAAACAGCACCGGTGGAGGGATTTTGTCCCATTAGAATCTGCGGTTTGCTCCACTGAACACATAATTTTTCCTTTGTTCCTTTATTTCTAGGGTCTTTTTGTTCAGTATAATTATTTGTTCATTCTTGGAGGATTTGGGCGCCTGAAAAATCTACTGCGTGTGCGTGCGATGTTGCTTCCCCGCCTTCGTGATTG